TGAAGAAGGGTCCCAAACCGAAACGTCAACTTTCCTGCTCCTCTGATGCTGCCTGGCCTGCTGTGTTTCTCCAGCTCCACACTTTTATCTCAGACTCCAGCATCTGCAGTTCTTACTATTTCTGGGCATTTATTAATTTGTTGTTTAAAGTAGAATATAAAATTATATGTGGACTTGTGTCAACTTATTATACACAACCCTGACAATACATCTGAAGTTTATACATATCCTACCCATAGAAATGGATAAAGAGAGGAAATTTGAGAAAAAACTGGCAATACACAATCTGTACACACACGCAAGGTAGATTGGCAGAAGTCCCACATGTTGGCTAAAGAAGCAATACCCTCTCTCAAACGTAAGGCCCACCTTCTCTTCTGCTTATCAGGCAGTTGAGAGTACAACAGTGGGTTTTCATTCGGAATAAGGTTCTAAGGGGGTAGAAGTTTTTACTGAAGGACTTGCCGGCAACCCAATCACTCTGCACACCACAGGGAAAGACATGGCTGCTGTTCAGAATGCAGCCTAAAGATCAACAACCCAGGCCAAAGAAAGGTGATTTGTAGGGGGGGTGACATGGGGAGAGGACTGTAGGAATTCCCTGCTCTCAATCAGGCATTGTGAGCTTTTAACCAAGCCCACCCCACACAACGTCCCAACAGTGACAACAACAAGCAGGTTGCACTTTACTCTCTGGGAAGGATGCTTATAGGCAAGGCTGTGTGTTGCTGGTTGAATCCCAGCAGTGTCAGGCTGAGGCTGTTAAGTGGTCCTCAATTGGCTACAAGCATCTCAATTAGTAGCAAGATAGGAAGGTCAGCCATGGAGTTTCCCACCCAGCACTTAATTCAGTTGGAAGCAGGAAAATGTTGGGAAATTTATGCATCTTCCTAACTTAACAAAATGTGCTTTCGACTTCCTACTTCAACTCCTCTGGAACCAAAGAATTCCACCTTAAGTTTCCACATTAAGTCCCTTCTCTGACGCCACCCCGATTGAAAGCATATAGCGAACATATTAGCTGGTCTTTGATGGACCTTCGTATTTCTAGCTTTTTACGGTTTATTTCAGAATGATAGTACACAGTTTTTTTAAAAATCTTTATTGTTCTCATTAGTGGGTAGTAATCATTGCTAATGGATTTAAAATTTTTTAAAAATTCTTAGAATAGTTAAACTTGGCTTTTACAAATATGTTCAAGTCCACCTAAGACCGGACACTAATCATCACAAATCAGTTGGCTAAACTAATTTTACATCTAAATGATTAAGCCATAAGCCTAATGCAATGAATGTAACTCCAGTTTTGCACTTTAAATCTTCTACATCTAATTCTTGTCTTTAGCACTTTCTAATGCCAACTGAAACTGAAGTGGTGCTGCCTCTGCTATCCCTTAAATACCTTCGCTAAAATCCTGTAACAGCTTTCAACAATTCACTGCCAATATTTTAAGCCTTTAAGAACCATCATTATAAGCACAATAAGTGAAAAGCAAAGATGATTTAACATAATGGTTATTTAACAGAAAATAACTGCAACTGTTTGGTAAAATCGTATTTTCGGTGAGGTATATTAAGCAGCATTCAATATTAAAAATAGATTTCATACAGAAATAAGTTAGAATTCATGTATATTCAGAGGCTTATAATAACATTCAATATAGTATTATAAATAAAAGCAAGAAAAATCCAAGTTAGGGTGCCTGGCCCATTGAGTTGAGCTTTAAGAGGTCTTTTTCCATTTGCAAAGTAACTCGTTGTATTGCCAATATAAATCAGGCTATAACTTACCTAAATGACAGTGTATTTGTTCATTGGTAATTGCTTTATGTCGTTACATTAGTATTGCATTTCAGGGTGAAGGTACCAAATTTACTGATATAAACAAATTGACTACAGATTCAAAAATGAATTTTTGACCCATAGCGCATTGGTATTTTGCGGCTTGGAAATTTTAAGGAAACAAATGTTACAGTCAGAGCATAGCTTTACTACCAAGTATTCATAAAAGGCTGGAAGTTAAATGTTCCTTTAAACAGATACCATGACCAGAATAACCCCCTTTAATACTGCAGTGATCTGCAAGTAAATAATATTTAATTCACCCATTACTGCACAATATCAAGTGTAACCTTAAATCTGTAAGGCTGAAAGTCATGATTCCATTCAAAAAATATGGATTATAAAATTACCTTGTCATTTTCTCTTGAAAAATTATGCCCATTTTAAAACAGCTTAATTTGACCGGATATAATGTACAAATTGTAAAAGGAACTTTGATGCTTTAACCTCTATCAGTCTCTGTTCAACAATTTCCATTGATGCAGAAGTCAAAAGTGTGCAGGATTCAGGATCTCAATGTATTGGGTGTTATGTTCACTTAAGTAAAAAGACACAAATAAATAAGCTAATCTTGTGCTGACTTTGGGGAGTAGAGATTACTAACTACTGGTGCAAATTACTGTTTTATAAAACCATTAACAAGACAATTATGCACCTAAACTCTGAGCAGATTTTTTTAAAATGTAGATTACTTGCAATACAATTTTGATATTTGCTAAGGTTATTGGTTTTGCCCAAATTTATCAAACATAAAGGGAAATTTAGAAATCAATTAAAAACTAATAAATGGTTCATATTTTGAAAGCAGGAAAGGACTTTTAAATAAAAGCAAAATACTTCCAATAAAAAAGTATGTTTAGTAAGACATTTCAAATGTGTTATGCAACTATATTTAATTAATTATAATTCCTGTGCTGTCTGTGATACCCTAAAAAGAGTAAGTTAAAACAGTGCTTGGCGAAGTCTGAAATCAATCACTTGTATTATTTTAAACTTGGAGCAATTATTCTGAAGTGGTCTGTTCAAATTAAAATGTGGAAAGGAGTCAGTCAATCTCTAATGTACATTGGTTTACCAAAATGGTCAATGCTTGTTCCATCTGACACAAGCAATTTTATGCCTTGGTATATTCCAATAAGCAGTAGCTTATGATTGGTGAATACAGCTCTCAAATTACAGGGTTTAGAGCTGCACACTGGTTAACACTAAAGCAAGTAACTACACATTTTAAAATGTAAAGAGGAGAAATAAATGCACCAACTAACAAATCACTTTCATTCCTCCCAATTTTTTTGATGGGATATGGTTCCACATGCACTGGCAACTCTTCAGCATCTCAATCATATCTTTAACTAACAAAAATACATATATTAAGCATTAATTTTTGTTGCTGTTTTTTCTACCTACCCCATGCTCATGGAATTGTTGCATCCCCTCCCTGTGCCAATTGAGACCAGGCAACTTAATACGAACACGGATCTATTAGTCTTCTTGGTCCAGTGCAATAACTGGGTGGTTTAAAAACCAGACTAATCCCTCAAATGGCATTTCTAACAACAGTTTAAAAAAAAATTAAGGTACTGGTAACTGAAACCATTCTGGTCTGAATTGCTCTGCAATATCATTTACATTAGTCAACTAAACTGACCAAGTTTCTTGATGCCTAGATTTGCATAATGAAGATTTTTAATGAGGTAGCTCAAAAAAGCTAAGTCTTTACATACAAGCAATACTTCCATTTCTAAAATCAAAGATTTATTTTGATAACTGGGTCATACTTGAAAGTAATTTATGTGGTACAACAATTTGCAATTTCCTTTAGTTTACTCACAAAACTATATATACTAATAATTTCAAAAAACAATTTTCCTTCCTCCTATTTTGTTAGTATTATTTTATGAATTTCTCTGATCCCAAGTCCAGGGTCAGCAAGAAAAAAATTGTTCCCCAAATGGCACCCTGCCAGAACTAAACTTCTGGTGTCAATGACATGATGCATACTTTTTTCATAGAGTTGCAGTAGAACATCAGAACATAGTTCTAATATCATACTAAATTCTTGAATGCTTAAAACAGAATATAAATTCTGTCCCAAGAACATGCAGGGCAGGGCACATTGGGACATAGTGAAATATCAAAGGAAAAGAAGAGTATAAATGAAAGTGCTTATAACTGGTTGTTATTAAAATAGTTGTAACCATTTGCAGTAACCACATTTTCACTAAAAAGGGACAACTTGAAATCTAACTTCATTTTGGGAAGGTCTATTATTCAGAAGTCAATACTTTATTAATCAAATTTAATTGAGCTTCCATTGCTATCAAGCTCAATTTACCTAAATCTCACCTTTGAGACTTCTTTTCCATTACTTGAATAATAGAAACATTTATCACAATACAGCTCACTATTTAATTCACTGTCATGTTTAAAGCTCTTAAAGTAGCAGCAATTGTTCTTGGGCTCAAAATTCATAGCTGTTAGCTTTTAAAATGAACTTGAGGCTACGTTTGAACCTATAATTTGTAACAGCATCAAATCAAAAATCTGAAGCCTCCTGATGTTTCTCAACAATTAATTGGTAGTATACCTATAGAAAGGGAAGAGGTATCTTTTATGTAAGGCACGGAGTCAGTTGTGTATTTCACTTTTCAGTCATACAGCAGCTAGTTACCGACAGTCTAAATTTCCACTATTTACTGTTAACATTATAAACGCGAGTAATGTTTCCTCTAAATAAGTATTTCTAGCAAAATCGAAAGAAAGAAATTTCATTAGATATAGCAATCAGAAAATTTTCTATTGTATTTATCATACTATTAGCATACAGGAACCACAACAAACCTTCAAGATATGCAGATGAAGTCTTTTTTTCTGGGTAAGTTAAAATGCTGGAAAAAGTAAACATAATCCAACAAAGACAACAGAAAGATTGCCTTATTAAGCAAAAGGTTGAGACAAACATTAAAAATTGGCCACCAAACTAGAAATTGGACAGTTATCAAATTAAGCTCTGTTCACTAGAATAATTGAACTAAACCTATTAAACCCAACAGCAGAATCATGTCTAAAAATGTCAGAGCTACAGTTCTCTAAACGTACCAAAGGTGAAGACAGAGGTACAAATTATGCTATTATGTAATTTATTACACCTGATAGCAGAATTAGGTCTAAAATGTCAAAAGTGCAGCTAACTGCAAATACAACTAGGCAAAGATCGAGATACAATTCAGTCTACTAATTTATCACTATTTCTGATGTGCTGAACAAGCACTAGATTACAAAAAGAAATCAATCTGGCACAGCTTGTCACCATACAGAAGCAAGAACTACATTTGCCAGCAACAATTGAGTTTCCATCACATCCCCCAAAAGGCTTAGGTCACTGGGTCAACTACAACAACTTATCGATTTTTTTTAAAAGCCAATATAACCTCCTTGTGCTATTATCTCTGAACATAAATTATCATTTTATCACAGTAATGAAAGCTAAGAGTAGCAAAGCTTTATTAGGAGGGACAGGAAATTGCATATTTAAGAGATTATTTCCGGCTTATTTGTTACAATGTAAAAAGGTCAAGATCCCAAGGACAGGCAGGTCCTGGTATCAATGCATTCAATGAATTCTTTTTACTTCCAAATAGAATCTAATCATCTCAGAAGCATAACGAGGTAGTTTTCTGTAAATAGTTTTAGTGCCACAGTTAAAAGACAATATTTATGTAAAAACATATCTTTACATCTCAGAATCAACAGCATCAATAGATTTAACTGCATTATTACTTTAATTATGAAAATCTGGAGAAAATATTAAAGAAAATGAACTATTCTAACATTTTTGTTGCATATTATGACCTGTTCTGTGTTTTCATAGAGAATACTGGAAACATTTATGATAATGGAAAATTTTACAACTACCCTAAAGAACACACAATTTAAGCAATGCCACTGCACCCAATGTTCAGTATCGCTTGTTTTCACAAACATCTGACATTATCTAGCTACAAAATTGGTACCTGGAAGCAAACAAATATTGACTGAAATACTTTTAGAGATAGTAGGAACTGCAGATGCTGGAGAATCTGAGATAACAAGGTGTAGAGCTGGATGAACACAGCAGGCCAAGCAGCGTCAGAGGAGCAGGAAGGCTGACATTTCGGGCCTAGACCTTCCTAGAACCTGTCCTTCCTCCCACCTATCCCCTCCTCCCACCTCAAGCCCCACCCCCATCTCCTATCTACCAACCTCATCCCGCCCCCTTGACCTGTCCGTCCTCCCTGGACTGACCTATCTCCTCCCTACCTCCCCACCTACACTCACCTTTACTGGCTCCATCCCCGCCTCTTTGACCGGTCTGTCTCCTCTCCACCTATCTTCTCCTCTATCCATCTTCTATCCGCCTCCCCCTCTCTCCCTATTTATTTCAGATCCCCCTTCCCCTCCCCCATTTCTGAAGAAAGGTCGAGGCCCGAAACGTCAGCCTTCCTGCTCCCCCAGTGCCTCTTGGCCTATTGACTGAAATACTGAATTGTTAAATGATGAGAAGAATCTGGATCAAATCCTATTTTAGGAATTGAGCAAATAATTTAACTGACATTTCTGTGCAGTACTAAAGAGATGCTGCAGCGTTGGAAGTGCTGTTTATTGGTGTGTTATTAAATGAAGATCCTGGCTACTTTGCCTAATTAAAAATTCTATAACACTATTTCAACAGTAAGGCTTTCTCTCAGTGTACCAGCCAACATTCTTTCTTCAAGAACCACAACCGAGCAATTCATCATAATACAGTAGCAAAGCGGTACCATTAAATGGACAAAAATCCAAAGGCCAGAACTAATGATCTGATGGCATATGAAATTTACAATAAGTGATGAAACAAATTGGGGGTGGGGGGGAAGCAACTGTATTGTTGTAAAAATCTATCTGGTACAATATGTCTTTTAGCAAAGGGAATCTGCTCTTCTACTGTGTGGTCTATCTGCAACTCCAGACCCACAACAATATGGTTACTCTTAAATGCCCACCAAGTCATTTCATTTTAGACAAGAAGGTGGACTACCACCATTAATATGCAAAGATAATTAGGCCTGGGAAATAAATACTTGCTTTGTCAGTGATGTCCACATCCATTTTGTTTTCCCGGTTTGCAAGATCTTGTGTAAGTTAGCTGTTGCATTTGACTGTACAACTGTAAATATATTTCAAGAAAAATTATTGACAATAAAGTGCTCTGGGGCAACCTGAGGATATGAAACTGCAATATAAATGCAAGTTCTTTCTTTACAAAGCAGGTCAAGGTCTTGTAAACAGACGACTCAAGACATATCAGCTTTCTTTTAAAAAAAGAAAATAAAAGCCCAAAAATAGTACAGTCACAACTCCTCAATTACAACAGCCTTTGGCATTCTAGGTTGGGGTTGACCAGCACTTACATTACTGACCGTTAACCAGTAATTCCTGAAAGGTAGAAGTCTACGGATTGGATTGAATCAGGTTTCACTATGATGCTTATTGCAATACAACAGCCTGCCAATACAGCCTATGTATTGGTGCCTCAGGCAATGGTTGCCTATTAAACCATACTGAACAAGGGAGAAGGCCTTTGGAAGGAGGGAGGATAGGGAGAAAATAGACAAAGAAGAAAAATTAAAATGCATACTCCACGTGTAGAATTAATTTTACTGGTACCTTAAATGCCACAGATGATACCATTTGTCTAAGTATTTTGACATTATGCAGGAACCTTAAAACAGCCAGTTATTCTAAAGCCATTTACTTTTTATCAAACCCTTAAATTCATTTAAACCAAATTATTTGAAGTGTTGGCACAAAATAACCATCACCAAAAAGACCTTTTTGTACTGCATTTTAGAAAAGCAAGTTATATTTTGAATTCTAATAATCAGAGGTAGGACAAGGAAATGGAATACTACCTCCATAAACTGTGGGAAACTATGAGTAATAAAGCACAATTTAACAGAGAATGCTATCTTCAAAGCAGAATGTTGAAACTAATTATTTAATTTTCTATTTGTTTCAACAGGAAATGGTTCTCAAGAAGTTGATGCCAGTTTTCAAATAATTATAATTTTGACTTTACCCAAATCACTCCACTCACTGAGTATGGCCAATAAAATCCAACAACATTTGCTAAAAGTAAACATATTGTCTCCAGCAATATTTGTTTTTCATTAATTTCAATGTGATGTTACAAAATTAATTTCAACATATTATCTCTACCACACTAAAGACATGATGAAGGCAGTACACCATCACATTTGGCTACTGATAAACAATAATGTAATTGTAAATTGAGGAAAAAAGGAAACCTTGCTGTTCATTGAACAATTTCTTTGAGGGAGTGGAGTAACAGCACTTAACTGAAAATCTACAAATTCAAAGGTGAAGTTGTTAACTGCATCCTCTCAAAGAATATACTTCCATTAGGTAGGTTTTCACTCTCATTGTAACAGCAACCTTACAGTCCTATGAAAGATGGATATAGATGTAGATCTATATAACTTCAAGCATAATAGTTTTTCCCAAAATACCTGTTTCAACGGTGATGCATCAGTTTACACTCTAAAAAGGTGTATTTTTCACAGTATGAACACAAAGCTGATTCTGTATAAAATGTTTTACTTCAAATGTCACATTAAATACTATAGTGAATGCAGTGGAGCTCAATCAAGATCATTTCCCTGCAAATCAAAAACTATTCATGAACACTTTAGATCCAACTATTAATCAATGTCTGCAAAAAGCCCCTGTGACAATAGATATCATATACTTCTAATATTATAATGTCTATTGTCATCTAATGCTTTAACTAAGGTATGTTTCACACCAAAGTTATAACCATATCTTATTTAAAATGCTGTAAGACATTTTAAAAACAGCCATCACATTTATGTTTTAAAAAAATCAAATGTATTCAGTGGCAGATAGTAAATTATTTTCCCTTCACTGTCATGGCAAAACGTAGGGAGATCAGCAAGCAAAATTCTATCCTGCCTCATCAAAATCCAATTTTAAAAATGAACACACTAATATTGCAGAATGCCAAGCCAAAAATGACAGCTAAAAATGTCAGATCAATTCTTTTGTCATTTCAAGGAAATTTAAATGGGTAGAATTTGTCATCTCAGCACTGCTGAAGTGATACTCAAAGTAATGCAAATGAGAGAGAAATGTGAGCTCTTTGAATTTTTGTGCAACGTATGACATTAGAACTAAAGGAAACTATTGAAGAGCAGCATTTAAAATTCACTATTTCCCAAACCCCTGCCCCAAATAGCTATGTACAATGGTCCAGATTTTCATTAGAATGGAATGCTCCTTTAAGATCCAATTATATTTGCCAGAAAAATGATCTCATGATAGCTCCACTGTATTAGAGTCTTGTGTTGTGAAATTAACTAAAATATATTAAAAAGTACTGTATATAATAAATATCTGAACAGCTGTAAAAGTCTGTGTATTGCTACATGTATAAGAATGATCAATATAAATGGATAAGCATTGAAACAGCTTATCCCTTTCTTGTTCGGCAGTAACTGAACATACCAAAATGTAAGAAGCAATATCATAGATGTAGTTCAAATTTTCTTTTCCTTCAAAAAATATCAATATTCACTTATAAATCTCAATTAAAATAGCACATCATGGAAATACATATATAGTCTTTAAATGCTGAATTTGGCTGAAAAGAAAAATGTAACCAATGATAAATCTTGATTAAAGAATAAGTAGATTTATGAGGTATTAGTAGTTTTTAAGCTGCTCCTGGTTCTCATTCAGTGACCCAAGAAAGTTTATAAGCAGAATATGGATTATGCTTAACTGTTGGCCATTTTGGCCATTCAACTGAAACCTCTGGTCATCAAAAGTTACTTTCCTTGAGAGTTAAAAGCCTGAGAACTCCTTTTAAAGTGTTGGCGGTGATGCACTATGCTGAAGTTGGCTTTATTACAGCTGCAGCCTCATGGTGAAGAGTTGTTTGAAGTATGTGATGATGAGGAGGTAGGTGTGCGAGGTACAGGCAGGCTAGGTGTACCCTGAGAATTGTTATTCTTGCTGTTATTTCCTTTGGTGCTCGATGCACCAGATATACCAGGTCCTTGACCAAACAGAACACCTATTTAAAACAAAATATCCTTTAATATGTTTAATTTAGAATGCCATTTTAAAATATTGGAAATAGTCATTAAATGTACAACTCAATTACAATTAATATTTAGTTAAGTAAATATATCAATCATTACCAAACCAACTATACACACACACTCTCAAACACAGAAGCAGCATTGAAGCATGTAAGTAGTTGTAATCAGACAAGTTTTCATGCAACAAGATCAGGAAATGGGAGAAATTCCAATATCATGAGAAACATTGCTGTAACCACTGATACACTTTATAGGATACTTTGCTTAAAACAAAAGGTTTGGAAAATTAAAGAAAACCTTTGAATGACAAGTATTTAATGTACATGGGAATTATAAAACAAATTTTTAATAACTGAAAAAGAGTACAGGAGGATGTGGTATAAATTAACATTCAAAAAGCTTTCATAAGGCATTCTTCATCGCAGTCAGCAACTATGTGGAGTCAGGGACAAGTAACACACCGATTGCAAAACAAACAGTAGGAGTAAAAGTAGTTTCACAGACTGGTGAAAATTGTGAAGTAATGTTTGCTGGGGATTGTTGCTATGACCACCATTATTGAAATAAATGATTTGGACTCTGGAATCAGGAACACAATTTCAAAATTTATGTATGGCATTACACCGGGGGAAGGAGTTGATGACATAATAAAGACAACTGCTTAACAATCTCACAGAATTGACATATAAACAGCAAATTAATCTCAATATAGACAGATATCAAGTGGTGGATTTTCTTACTAGGAATAAGGAGGCCACCTGGTACTTAGAAAATTAGCCTTCAAGAGTAGAAATACAAAAGGCTCCTAGGTACAGATATACTAAGAGTAGCAATGCAGATTTTAAAAAGGTATATGATGTGAAAACTAGACAAACAGACAAAATTATAAAATGTACATTAAACTTATATAAAGCCATGGTTAGACTGTACTTAAGTGGATAGTTCTGGTCTTACAAAATGGGAATAGTAATACCCGAAAATGTACAAATGATACCAGAATTCATGAAGTCCAAAACGTTTGGTGCACTTTAAAAGAGATGATGAAGAGGTGACCTGATAGGAGGTCTTTAATATTACAAAGAGATTTGGTGGAGAAAATGTAGAAACATTTTGTGAAGGTGTCTATAAATACAGGATAGCAACATAAATCCAACTGGGAATTCTGAAGAAACTTTGCTTGGTGTTGAGACTGTGACACTTGCTACCATATGAAGTGGTTGAGATGAATGTTATGAATGGATTTAGGGAAAGCTAGATAAGTGCAAGAGAATAAAAAGGAACAGAATAAAATGGCTAAGGGGGTGTGATAAAGTTAACAGAATGAAACATGCTTAATGCAGAGTCTAAGACCACCTCAGGTCACATGCTGTGCTATGAATGCAATGTACAGCCTTCATGATGCAAAGAGCAAAATCATAGTTTTAGGTAGATGAAAAGCATTTTATGTTTCAGTTAATATGAATTCATGTGCTAAATTGAATGAAATGTTGCTGAAGGCAAGATAGAAAATTCTTCCAAATACAAGAACACATAGCAGTAAAAATTTAGGAATTCCTTCAACAGTTGACAATTGTGAAAATTACACATGCTACAATGACACAGAGGACAACAGTACTATGGCCCTAAAATTCTGCCCTCAAGTCAGGATATGGCCAGAATATTGGCTGGCTTGATTTTTACCCTTCATTGTTCGAGAAGATACTTTGATTCAAGGTAATCAAAAACTAAAAGGAGATTTAGGGAATGGAATTTAAAAAATGGAATAATAAAGGGAATTCAACTACGAGTACTTCAATATTAACTAGATGATGAAGAGCGGCATGGGTGATTTGTTACAATGTGCAAAACTTCTTTCTAAATCAGTCTGTAATAAAATTCAACAAGGGAAGATTTGCTCTTTGGTCTAGTAATGGGATGAACCAGAACAGAAATGGGAAGTGAAAGCAAGACAACGTTTAAACAATCGTGTGAGAAGGCATGGTTGATTAAAGATATAAGGCCACAAGTGAGAGGCATACAAACAGCAGAGAATGGCAGGTAACAGAGCATAGCAGAGAAGTAAACAACATATAAATTGATTGAGAAACTACAATATCAAATTACTAAGGAACATAAACAAAATAGTAAAATGTTTACGTGTACATCAATAAAGAAGCTTGAATGGGAACAGGACCATTAAAGAGACAGACGAGATAATACTGCAGGAAAGGATGAGAGAGTCTGCAGAATATTAAAAAGAAACGCTTTGATAAATACCACGGAGACAGAACAAGTAGACAAGAAATTGAAAGAAAGACAAGTCAATAGTAATGAGATGAGATAAGTGCACTTAAAATAATAGAAGGAAGATCTATTGAACAAATTTTAAAAAATCAAATTCGACAAGGTCCCTTGGTTCAGTAGATGGCATCCATGTATTTTAGAAGAATTCAGGGAAGAGATAGCAAAGGAATTATGACTCATATTTAACTATTTGCTAGAAAAGACTAGGTGTTAAAGGACTGGCAGATAGCTAGCATAATTCCAATTTGTTTTTTTTCTGGGGGGGTTCAGAGGGCAGAACACATTGGAGGAAGTTGTATGCCAGCCATTTTAACATCAGTTGTGGGAAGAATAGTGGAGTTCATACTGAAGGTGAGAATAGAATTGCATCTACAAATGAGAAGTAACAGCAATAATCAGGGTGGATGTCAAAGGGGAAAATCTTGCTTGGCCAACCTTCTTGAGTTTTTTGAGGATGTAACAGAGAGAACAGACAATAGTTATACCAGAGAGATAATACAGATTTTCAGAAGGTCTTCAATAAGGTGCCTCAGAACAGACCAATAAGAATAGACAAATGAGGTCAGAGGACATATGGCAAAAACTGTTTGTTAGTTGGCTTCAAATTAGAAAGCAGAGTGTAGGAATACAGGGTTATTATTTCAAGTGCAGGGTGGAATGTAGTATTTCACCAGGATCAGTGCTTGGCCTGCTGTTGTTCTTGATTTACATTAATAATTTGATCCTTGGAATCAAAAATGCAATTTCTAAATTTGTGAATGACACCAAATTCAGATGGGGAGGGGGTGGGGGGTTGCAAATGGGAGGTAGAAGATGTTGAATACCGAGGACCTGAACAAACTACAGGAGCACTTTATTAAACTTGTAGAACAAGTGAATAATTGGCTTTTGAAATCCACCACAGATAAATGTGAGATTGTACATTTTGAACAGGGAATAGCTTATTCCTGGAAAAGGTGTAAGTCTAGTAGAGAGTAGAGAAACGTTGTGATCTGGAATTCAAATGCACTAATCACTAAAAAATGTGCCACAGGTTAGAAAGATCATTAAGAAAAAGCAATAAGCTTCATGTTCAGAGGGATAGAATTTGGAAGTAATGAAGCAATATTAAATCCAAAATGTACCTTGGTTACAGAACATATGCAGTTTTTGTCACCAGATTCTAAAAAAGATATGGTAGCACTGAAGACAGCAAGGAGAAGATTTAAAAGGATGCATATCAGAAAAGGACTGACAGGCTGGGTCTCTTCTCTTGAAAAAGGGCTAATAAAAGGTGTTCAAAATTATGAAAGGTAGGTTGGAGAGAGAGAATATTTCCTTTTGTGGGGAACAGCATAACTAGAGACTATCTATACAAGATGGTCACCAAAATTCCAATAGGGAATGCAGAAGAAACTTCTTCACTGAGAATGATAAGAATGTGGAACTTGTTGCCAAAGGGAGTAGCTGATGGAAATAATATAAATGTATTTAGAGCGGGGAAGGTACAAGCATTTCAGATAAAATCAAATCAATGATTGGATGGAAGGAGTTCAAGTAAACATGAACACCAGCATGGACAGATTGGGTTGAATGGCTTCTTTGTTTTGTGCATTCTATGTAATCATAATTTGGAGTTCATATTGGAATACTCTGAAATGTAATAAATCTTAGGATTGCACATGAAATAGAAAGGGAATCCAACTTTTCATTACAGAATGGCAGATCAAAAAGATGTTTTCTCTAGTCTATTTAACAAATTATACTTGAAGTATCCCATTTGTTCAACATGAAACTTCAGATTCACCTGTGTAAACAACCCCATTGATCTCCACTGACATACTGATACTGCTCATGCCATTTGTTGTAAGGTTCAATGCTGATTCTTGGCGGTCTGCTGGGAAACAAAAAGTCATGTTAACAATTCACCATGGAAAAATCAATGCAAGAGATGAAATGTTAGAAGTTGGGCCTGGGTCAAAATATATTACTGTTCCACTTCAGAATTTCTGTGCAAAATCTAGATGAGTACTTTCAGTGCAGTACAAAGTATTATTCAGATATCAATTGAGTGTTTAGTTGTATTCAGGTATTAATTGGACCATCAACAGGTTTAAAAAGGCATTGTTAAGTAGCACTTACACATGTCCCTGCAAATAACACCTTCTGCAAATGAATAAAGACCAGTTTTGTCTCCAGTTCTGTTCTTCACTGCCTATTTAATCATTGATTGGTAGAAGTACTGTCTCTCAATGGGCAGCCTTATCGCAGTTTATAAAATAATAAGGATTATAGATAGGGTTAATGGTGGCTGTCTTCTCCATTGGATGGGGAATTTCAAGACTAGGGGACATATTTTTAAAGGTGAGAGGAGAGAGAATTAAAAAAGACATGAGGGGTAAATTTTTTTACACAGAGGGTAGTTTACAAGCGGAATGAACTTCCTGATGAAGTGGTGGATATGGGTACAATTAAGATTAAAAGACATTTGGATAATTATATGAATAGGAAAGGTTTAGAGGCATATGGGACAGGAGCAGGCAGGTCGGACTAGTTTAGTCTGGGATTATGTTTGGCATGGACTAGTTGGACCGTAGGATCTTTCTCTGTGCTTCATGACTCTATGACTATGACTCTACCACAGGTCACCCGTATCAAAACACAATGCCTATATCTTCAGGACTGTCCAAAACAAGCTCAGAGATGCAAAATACCTGGTTGAATCAGAAAGCCGACCAACTTCAGTCATTGCAGACCCAAAAGATTGGAAGAAATTCTATGATGCTCTGAAATCTGTCTACTGACACCAGTCTACTGCTCATCAATCTTCAGTGCTGAGAGGTAGAAATTTCTCACAGGAAAAAGTCCAAATAATAGAATGGTGAACTTAACACTTAATTACATCCTCAAACTGGTCATCTTCAAACTATGAAGACACAATAAACAGGCTACCATCAAGTGCTCCCTTAAGGAATTTCCAATTGTTTTAAGTGATGAATGCAACCACACTTCTGCCTACTCCCAAAGCTCCAGAAGCAGCTTCTATCCCAGTGGAGGTCTACAAAATTAGAAGTCAATGCAATAATCACTGAACTCAGTTCACTTGAGAACAAAGAACCATTCTGTACAAATAAAAAAATGCCTCCATACTCCAACTGTATAGGCAGAAATAACTCTCAAAATTTGCAACAGTCATTACAGGAATTCCACTCCTCTCCATTGCTGACAGAATCTTCACAGGAATCCTTCGGAGCTAGTTAACACAACATCAATAGCAGCACCTCCTTCAGAACATCAGTGCATTTTCAAAAAAATGGTCAAGATAAAAAGGACTGAAATGATGTTTGCAGTTAGACAGCTCCAGGAAAAATATGAAAAACAGAATACAGACCTCTAAACCATGTTTGTTGCGTATCCAAGGCATTTGACAGAATTAGCCATGAAAGCCTTTGGAAGATAATGCAAAATTTTGGCTAACCTTGGAAATTCATCACAATTGTCCAGCAGTTTAATGACAGCATGCCATCCGTGTCCTAGATGACAGTGAATCTTCAGATCCACTTCTAATTGCTAAAGGAGTTAAATATAACTATATAATACTAGCATACATCCTCTTCTTCGTGTTCTCTCCAATGCCTTCCAAGTTAGCAATACTAGCATCAAAACCAGATATTGTTAAGAACCAGTATTGCTTACTTGGAGACAACTCCAGACAAAGATCAAAGTTTCCAAGGACGGTGCCAAACATTTCATGTTTGCCAATGACTGTGCACTGGTTCATGTTTCAGAGCTGGAAATGCAATGTAGCATGGATTTGTTGCATGCACTAGAGAAACAACATGAGCTTTGCAGTCATCAAAAAGCAAACCAAATTAACAGACTGCCAGAAAAGCCCCTCTTAGATCCAAGGTTTCCATTCACCACCAAACATTTAAGCAGTGGGCGAGTTCATTTCTCTCAGCAGCATACACTCAACTGCCCGTATTGGCAATGACATGTAGCCTTCAGCAGACTTTGAACATCAATTTGGAAAGGAAGAGTTGTAACCTGCCTATCAAACCAGAAGTCTGTACAGCAAAAGTCTTGCTCATTCTATTCTACACATAAAAGCCTTGTATAGCAGAGTCACGTCAAGAAGTCAACTACATTCACTTAACTGCCTTCAGAATCTTTGAAGACGACATGGCAGGAAAAAAATACCAGGGAAGCGTTCAACCAGCCGGCATGCTAAGCATGCACAACATATAGTCAGTCACAACCAGGTTGAGCTATTTATGTAGCCAAAATGCCCAAAGTCTTCTTTGCAGAGCTCGACACTGGTGTGCACTCTAATGGTGACCAAAGAAAGCACTACAAGATCTCTGAAGGTTTGATATCAACTTAAATCCTCAGAGAGGCTCAACTAGGATTGCTGTTGCTAGTGCAACCAAATTCAAAAAATGAAACAGCTTTCTTTGGAAGCAAATGCATACCAAAGAGAGAGGGAAAACAGTAGGAAAGGAAATCCAAGCCAGCAATTCACTCAAAACTCAATTGTCCACAGTATCCACCATTTAGGTGGATTCATGTTTTTAAGCCCATAGATCAAATATTGTCAGGTTAAATTTATTAAAGTTTCACGGAAGCACTCAAGCGTCTGAATGCAGCATGACTTGGACAACATTTAGGTCTAGCCTGATAAGTAGCAAGCAACTTTCACACACATGCCAGGCAATAACCTAATCAAAGTGAAGCGAATCCAACCATTGCCCATTGACATTCAATGGCACTACCATTATTGAATCTCCCACTATCAACATCTTGGGGGGATAGCACTGACTAGAAACTGAAATGAACTAATCATATAAAATACTGTGGCTTCCAAGGCTTGCAAAAGGCTGGGAATTCTGTGATGGATACACCACCTGTGACTCGTGAAAGTTTGCCCATGAGGTCCAAAGGCAAAGAAACAGTCAAGAATGCACTGGAATATTCTCAAATTGCCTGGATGAATGCAGCGCCAACAACATTCAACATAATTCAGGGTGAGACAGCCTGCTTGACTGGCACCCCACTAATACCTTCAATTTGCATTCCCTTCACCAAAGATACACAGTGGAAGCAATGGGCATAATATGTAGGTGATGCATTACAACAGTTCAGCAAAGCTCCATAGACAGCAGTTTCCAAACCTGCAGTCTCTACCAGCCAAAAGGACAAAGGTAGCAAAAGCATAAGGACACCACCACCTCCAAGCTCCCCTCCAAACCACATCCTATCCTGGCTTAGAACTGCATGACCATTCCTTCACTGTTGCTGGGTCAAAATCCTGGAACTTCCTCCCTAACAGCACTGGTGGGCGTACCTGCTCCACACAGACTGTAGCAGTTCAAGACAGCTCATTTCCACCTTCTCAAAGACAAATTAAGGATGGGCAATTAATGGCCATGAACAAATTTTAAAAAAGCAACTCCACAAATAAGACATTGAATGAGGACACTATGAGACAGCACAATCCTGTTTTAGTAAACTCAAATAGTATGTAAATAATTGAGACTTCAAAAAATTTAACCTGACAATATTTGATCTATGGGCTTAAAATGCACAGCACATTAGACCTTTCATTTTTATTCTGCAAATTAAGGGGACCTGCGCACTTTGCAACATATTACTATTATGGAATATTCAGAATAATGCATATTTGCCATCATTTTGTAATTATTAGCTTTCGTAGTCACCCAAATGCTGAACAAAACTTTACCAAACACCATAAATGATCATTACATTGGTCAGAAAAAGTGAGAAACGGGAAAAGTCCTGATGTATATTTAACCCTCAATCAACGGAGCCATAAACGAACTAATCCATCATTTGCTGTCTGGGGACTACACTTAAGTGAAGCACTGCAGGCAATTTCGCTTAAAACAAAAATCTGTGCTTAATATGCAAAAAGAAGCACATGCAGATTTCAAAACATGTGTTTTATTACAATTGCTGTGGAAGGAATCATAAACCGAAATAAACGAATATACTAAATGGCCACCAACCGAAGAACTTACCAACAACATTTCACTTTTTGGTGACTTTAACAGCATTAATCAAACATGAATTACCAGGTAAATGATATTTCAAAGAAAAAAAAACTGAAATTGTTGAGAAAGATACACCTTGTAAAATTTTAAGCACCTGCATCAATCCCCACAATATAAAACAATGTGCAGTTCCAAAATTCTCTAACTCAGTTTCTGGTTTTTAGGAGATCACACCTTCTCACTCAATCAATTTTGCCCTCGCATTGGATTCAACCAAACTCTCCGGAAACAGTTCTCACCTAAATGGCACACTACTTCAGAACCTTCTTTTCTCATACAACCTTGATGGCAAAGATTCCTGAGAGGCTCCTTTACCTAACCTCTTCAATAAATCCTGTTAAATTGCCTGGTTGGCTCTGGCAAAACTGAAACAACAGCAGTAAAGTTATCCAATTTACAATCCTGGCTGAAGCCCTACCTTTGGCTTCCAGTCCTGTTTAACTGTACACATACAGTTACATGCATGCAAAACTCCTTGTAAATATGCCTTCTCCATTCTTTCTACAGCTGCAGCTATCCTTTCTGTCTGACAGCACACAGCTACTGATTTTCACTTCCTCCCCATTTGTACTGCTTAGAGGTCAAGGGACCCGTGTTTACTACAAAATGAAATTGCAATTAGCAATTAATGTAAAAATCTTAAAAGTACTTTGCAAAAGTTCTTCATAACACTATAGATATTTTGTAATTTGTTTAAAAACTTTCCTTGCTGTACTACTCCAGGTCAAAGTCATAGAGATGTACAGCATGGAAACAGACCCTTTGGTCCAATTTGTCCATGTCGACCAGATATGATAAATTAATCTAGTCCCATTTGGCCCATATCCCTCTAAACCCTTCCTATTCATGTATCCATCCAGATGCCTTTTAAATGTTGTAATTGTACCAGCCTCCACCACTTCCTCTGGCAGCTCATTCCACACACGCACCACCCCTCTGCGTGAAAAAGTTGCTCCTTAGGTCCCTTTTAAATCTTTCCCCTCTCAGCTTAAACCTATGCCCTCTAATTTTGAACTCCCCACCCCAGGCAAAGACCTTGTCTATTTACCTTATCCATGCTCCAAAGTCGTCACAATACTGAAGAAAATATAAAATGAATTTACTTAACACTATAATGTATACAGTATATACTAACTATGTTCTAACTATCTGAAACAACTCAAAGATTGTGTACTCATACTGCATCTTTCACCTTGAATGAGGGGCCAATGTACTGCTTTTATCCTGTCAAGTCATGGCTGTTATTTGTAAGCAAAAGTGGCAGCAGGTGTGTGTACGGCAAGGTCCCATAAACAGAAAATAATATTTAGCATTTAAACACTTTTCAGTATAAGGGGTGAATGTTGACCAGGAGACGGGAAATATCTGTGCCTTTCTTTTCTCCACCAAATTCTACAAATGTCGGATTCTGTTCCTTGCCTTGGAATTCTAGCATGCCTGTAAACCTCTGACACTAACTCACATGCAATGCAAATATTAATTTTCACAATATCATAGTCCCTAGATTTTAATATCTGAACATGATCAGCACACTTTAAAACACCCCCACGAATGCACTTTGCAATAAGACTGCCCAACTTTCCTACAGCATTCTAACTTTGTAGCAATTTTCTCAAATGACAAAATATATTTTAACTCATTGAATGTCAGCACTATGAAACGTTCCTTGCCAAACCAAAACCTAGAGTTAAATCTGATCTAATTCCTCATGTTAACATATTTGTGAGATCCAAGCTTTTCTTAATGTTAAGTTCAAGTTCACTAATTTCCTTTTTTCCCCTGGAGTCAAGATTTTCCCTTTCCTTGGAACTTCAAATTCAGATTTGTATTATTCAATTCCTCCCAGAAGTGCATAAGCAACAGAGACGATCATACTGACTAGTCAATAAATACAGCAAAACTGTGCAATCTTTTGCACTCAACTCTGGCAAATTCCACTGTATTCACCCCCAGCTGTGAATACATAACCTGCAAGAGACCCCTATTTGTAACAACCTCTGTAGAGACTAACAACTGTTTTTAAAAAAATCTGAACTATCAACTTAAAGGAATCGCTCGACAAGATGAGAAGTGAAGACTTTTACTGTAACCAAAACAACTAAAAATGAATATCAACTAAAATGCAGAATAGGTAAATCTCATTAATGTCCTATTGCAACCTATAACCATGTACTGCTTACGTACTTGTTCTTTTGCATACTTATGTGCATGTTCTCCACAAAATTAATTTCTCAGGAAATAATCTGCAGCTTTCAACATGTTCGTGTTTCTCCAATTTGCCAGGTCATAATGTTCAGTGATGGAAGATCCTCTCCCTTCGTTCTGACAGTTCCAAATCAACTTTAAACTGCAAGATCAACTCCAGTGATTTCTTTTCTTGGCCTCACCAGCAGAAATCTTCCAATGTCCTTAAATTGCTATATGTTCCTTCTCTTCACCCAGTGGACTAGCTTTCCTCAGCATTTTGTCTGATAACTAACTACCGTTTTTCTCTTTGCAGACTGCAGCAACTGCTGGCCCTGTCTCTCTTGCTCTCTCCGTATTCAGGACTTTTTCTTGAATCAGGCTGCCAAAGAGCTACAAACCAGCACAAGGCAAGGCAGTTGCCTCTCTTTCTGCATGAGTATGGAACATAATGTGGAGTCCGTAAGTTTTAATATGGGTCTCCTGTCCCTATCACAAACATCAGGTTGTTGCCAGATAAAGTCCAGTACAATTTCACAACACATCTTCTTTTCAGGGTATTCTATTTTCTCTTTAAAGGGACAATTTAAGCATAATCATCTTATAACCTTGCATTCATAACACAAACTGCAGGACTATAGTTTAACAAAGTACAGCTGACAAGAAACATACCAATCCCACCCATTAGCCTTCCCAGAAAAATACCAACAAAATATTCATTCATGCGTTCTAGGATATTTCCACTGGTAACATAGAAACATAGAAAATAGGAGCGGGGTAGGACATTCAGACCATGTAACCTGCTCACCATCCAATGTTATGATGGCTGATCATCAGTACCCTAATTCCTGCTTTCTCCCCAGACCATTTGATCTCTTTAGCCCCAAGAACTATATCTAACTCCTCCTTAAAAACATTCAATGTTTTAGCCTCAACCACTTTCTGTGATAGAAATGACTATTTAACTAAAAGGACTGTGACTATTTTTTGTCAACCCAAGGCCTGATCCAGAGAGAGCTCAACCCAGAAATCAATGTTAGCAGCTTGAGATGCACAAAATTCAGTGTTCAGCAGATCAACAAAGACAGATTTAAAATAGTACATACCACTATTTCCAATACTACTTCTCCAAAGTATATGGCATCAATGTCAAGATATAGGCTAACTAGAAAGGACAGCCATTCTGATCTACTAGTTCAGAACATTATACCTTGACTGTTGATTCTGATGTTCATTGGTATCTGCGCTGTCATGGCAAGTAGATTCTGCTGAATAGCACGTTGCATCAACCGCTGCTGATCATCCACCCCAACGACCATCTTCTTCTCTGGAGGCTCTCCAGACTCCAATTTCTCTCTCAATTGATCTAATGCTGTAGCTTGTGCAGCAACTGCAGCCTGAGCTGCAGCAGCCTGTGCTGCTGCTACCTGGTGACCAGTCAGTGACACAGGTAGTCTGCCTCCCAAAGACAGTGGAATAATTGAATCCTCCTCTGCAAAACAAAACGAGACATTCATAAGTGTCAATAAAACTGTACTAGAAGGGATTGCCTATAACAAAAGAAAAAAAGCAATTCCAAATACTTTTTGCTATGCCTATTACTTGTTTTTAATCATAGTACAAACAGTCCACCATTTTTGCTATAGTACAAATTCTGCAGTATTTAAAACGAATCACATACAATTTAGTCAAAACCTAACTATATTGTGGATCCTTGTGTCTAATAACTGGTTGTGCAAACGGGAAGTGCCAAATCAAAGCTATGGTTCCCAAACGTTTTACAGTCAAAAACTTATATATCCTTACAGGCAGGTTTTGCCCATTTATTGACTACGTTTTGCAATTCACTGTAATTACACATTACAGGTAAACATCTGTTCCCATAATAATTCATCTATTTTTACTATTCCCTCTAATAAGCACCTTTTGTAGATCCCACCAAAAAGACTCAAATTAGCAGCCCCTCTTCACAAACCCCCTTCACTTACTTAGCTACCCCTTTCCAACTCCATCTTCTCCTCCACCCAGACACCCCATCAGCAGCCTGCCTTTGGAACCTCCAATTCCCATTCACCCAGAAGCCCCTCTTCATAAATCCTCCTCTTCCTCACCAAACTCACTCCTTTGTACCTTTGAGAGATAGATCAACTAGTTTAGGGCAGCAGCTGTACTCTTGTTGCCCCACTGCTCACTTTCCTGCAGCTAGCTGCTCCTCCAGTCACAGGTTTCCTCTCTCCCATTCTTGCTGCTAACAAGCCTAACTGCGACCCACTAGTCTGCCTTTTAGCAATAAGTGCAGGAGTGAAATCACGTGTGATTGGAGGAACAGAGAGTATTGGGAAAAGGTGTGACGACGCATAATCCGGAGCAACTAGTCAGAGGAGGCCAAGGTTGGAAAGAAATTTCTATATTCTGAAAATCCTCCATGAGAAAAGAAAAGTAATCCGAGCCCATTTGCCATATCCCCAGAGACATGTTTACCCAGCTTTGGGAATAACCAATGCTAAGAATTAGTTAATGGCAGTAGTGGGTACTACCATCAACCTCAATGCAGTGGGCTGGGGAGTAGAAAAACAATTGGTTCCACGTAACCAAACCAAATAGTCATCACAACCTAATGAAAATATGCGTGGGTCATTAGATGACTACAAATTTGTTTATGCATAATTTCCTCTGAATACAGGTAGTTCTGCTATAACACATGTTTTGTTAATGTAAATTGGCTGTTGTGATTGATGATTAGTAGATGCTGTATGGATAACATGAATTTTCTGCAGGTATAGCGATTCTCTATGGCACGAAGTCACACAAGAACGCAACTATCGCACTATAGGAGAACTACCTGTATTCACTTACACAGAAAATTTAACCCAGTAAAACGACTCGAGGTGTGTGCCATTAATAAGATCAATAAAGGCCATAGGTTGCAGAAGAACAAATGACAAAAACTTTTAACAAAAAGAGCAAGGTTTTAAGAAAGGAGAAAAGTAACCGATGAAGAAGCTGAGAAGTCAAGGTCAAGGCAGTTGAAAGCACAGCTGGCAATACTGGAACATTGAGAATAAGGGGTGTACAAGAGGTCAGAATGAGAAGAGCAGAGACGTTAAAGGTCTTGGTAAACAGTGGTCTAGGCCTGTTGGCGTAAATGACCTACACACTTCATAAAATTCAATGTATGTAGTAATTAGGAAGCTGAAGTGCACCAATACAATAGTACTTTCCAAAAGCTAAAGACAACTTGCAATAGGTTCAACCTTAGCAGTTACTAATTCTTATAAATCATACATCAAATTCAATTAAATACCTTTCTTTATTTTTACCAGCTGGTTAATAGGGCTGCCATTAGTTGTTGCTAAATTTAGTGTAGGCACTTGCAATTTGGGCGAGGATAGCACTGATGATGTTCCACTGGGAGAATAGCTATACAGTGGTGATCCAAAGCTGTGTCTTCGACCCTCTCGTCGATTGCTATCGATAGCAACCTGCAGTTCATTTGGAGAGCTCAGTCCTCTCTTCTCACATTCATATGGATAAAGGTATTTCATATATCTGCAAAAATGTAGCCATAAGTCCTATTATATACATACACAATATTTAAAAGTCAGGGGAAACTAACAATATGGGCGGAATAGTCAATATTAGGCAAAATGTTAGGAGCAGTAACTATAGTCAGCAACAGCTATACCAATTACACACATATTTAAGTATGAAGCTGTGCTTCTTTGTGTAAGTGATAGACATTAAAACAGATTACAGAAAAATGAAAATCTCAGATGGGCAGATTATGGAGAATTGTACATGTTTTAAAATTTTTATCTGCTTGTTGGAACAATTATATTATTACATTGACTTATTTTTAAAACTGGAGGGTAAAGCCAAGTAACAACTTTATAGTGCATTTTAATTGTAAAATATGATATTCACTCACAACGTGATATTTGGCACACCTGGCTGACAGAAGGGAAGATCTCTCAATAAATATTATAATGAAGTTGCTCACAAGCATACACAAAACTATTATCCGAATTATCCTGGTTAATTAACTATCAGGTTAATTTTTAAACATATAAACAAACAGTCGACTATAATTACATCACCTGTGCATGTCATTTTGAATGAGAAAATACAGAGCTGTTATGTCCATAAATACAGTAGAAATGTGACTTCTGGGGTTATTCGGAAACCACATTCACTTGATAGATTTTCAGAGTCCAAAAATTCCAAATCAACTCTTGAATTAATTTATGCAAGATTAATTGGATTTTGACTGTATAGAACTTAGTTAACAACAGCTTCTATTTGCATATCACGAAGACAAAACTAGGGACCACAACAATATTTTTCATACTCTAGTTCATTATAATAGCATTTATTAATAAAGAATTTGAAACAGAGCATAAATAAGTGGAAGCATTAACACAAGTATTAAAAGCCCAATATTTTATGATGTTGCTTTAAATTTAGAAGATACAAATTTGTAACAAATGAACAATGTTGCATTTATATAATCCTGTTCACAACTTGTGGTCAACCCAAAGTAAGTCGAATTACTTTTGATCACTTGTGTCATGTAAAGAAAGGCTGCTGTCAATTTGCACACAGAAAGATCTTAAAAGAGCAATGGTATTTTAAAAAAAGGTTAACTTGTGCTAATAGTAACTGCTTAAGAGATATTGACCAGGACACCAGGAGAACTTCTTGCTCTTGAAATAACATCATGGAATTTTTATATCCAACAGATGGAGAAAGAAAAGCAGCATTTCTGTTCTATGATAACAAGGTGTAGAGCTGGATGAACACAGCAGGCCAAGCAACATCAGGGGAGCAGGAAAGCTGATGTTTTGGATCTAGATCCTTCTTTTTCTGAAGAAGGGTCTAGACCCGAAACGTCAGCTTTCCTGCTCCCCTGATGCTGCTTGGCCTGCTGTGTTCATCCAGCTCTACACCTTGTTATCTCAGATTCATAGAATCCCTAGAGTGTGGAAACAGGCCCTTCAGCCCAACCAGTCCACAATAAACCTCAAAGCATCCCACCCAGACCCACCCCGCTATAACCCACCTAATCTACACATCCCTGAACACCACGGGCAATTTAGTGTGGCCAATCCACCTGGCATGCACATCTTTGGACTGTGGGAGGAAACTGGAGCACCCGGAGGAAACCCACGCAGACACAGGGAGAATGTACAAACTCCACACAGACAGTCGCCTGAGGGTGGAATCGAATCCGGGTCCCTGGTGCTGTGAGGCAGCAGTGCTAACCACTGAGCCACCGTGCTGCCCCAGCATCTGCAGTTCCTACTATCTCTGTTCTATATCTTATCCAGTAAACAATGGACAACTTGGATCAAGTCATCTGCATGTTGTTGCAATTGGACAGCTGACCATTATGGTAAAGATTACTGACTATTTGAGATTTGTGATGAAAGAACACCAGACATTTTCATTTACAGACATAATCCAGTTACTTGCCAAGTTTTAAAATGGCACGGGGCAATTCCAGCAAATATAAACATTTTAAACCTTAATTTTTAAACTCACTGAGTTCTGAGTGTAAAGGCAGCACTTGTGATAGAGGTGGGTAGGCTGAGACCTTTGGTAATTTCCCTCCAAAGCTTCTTATTAATGACTTCCACTAGGCCTCCTTTCTCAGTGACCAATGCGTAGAGTGTATAGAGGTCCAGAACCTGCTTAGCCATGATGGGAATCCGATTAACTGGAGTTCCTAAAAACAAGACGCATGTTTAAAAAGAGCTTGATACAATAAAAATCAAATGATTCACATCACGTGACTTCCTAACTCATCAAGATTATTTGTCTTAAATTAATTAAAACTATGCCATCCTAAATCGCGTACATTATTAAGCTCTATGTAGATTAGGTAAATCTGACTGGCAGATGCAGCTTGGAAAAATGAGCTGAGAATGTATTCAAGACAATTTCCAAGAGTGCTATGCTCTACAGCTAAAAAGGGAGCAAGCTATTCTACAGATCAATGTATATGAGACTAGATTAATCAATAACCTCATGGTAAAGGAGCATCTAGGCAACAGCAATCAAACGGATTTTACTTCTCTCTTCAAACTGAACGTATGGGTCTAAGGCTAGTTTTTTAAAATATCTAAATAAAGAGAACCACAAGTCTATTAAGACAAAGCTGGTGAACATGAGCTGGAAAACTAGGCAGAGAGAAAAAAAAACTAATTCGAGAAAGAGGCAACATCCATTGCTAATAGGAAAGTTAAAATATGAAGTTAATTCTGTACAAAAATGAAAGAAATGTTAGACAATCTATAAACATTAGTGATGAGTCAGAAAACAGTTATGAATCAAAGTATGATTACAAAAACGGGAAGAAGTAGAATAGGAGATTAAGCTAGTTCATAATATATAAATGGACAGCAACAGTCTTTACAAGCTTCCCTTACAAGGAAAAGACTGACTAAAACTGAAATTCGTATTGATCCTCGAGAATAAGAATCTGAAGAATTGATACTGATAAACAAAGAAATGGCAATGGTATCGAACATGTATTTTGTATTTGTCTTCACCGTAGAAGACTTCAGAAACTTTCCAAATATTATTAAAAATAAAGAAGTGAAAGACAGGGAATAATTTAAAACAATTACCATCACCAGGGAAAAGGTGCTAGAAGGCTAAGAAAAATAAAGATTGACAAGTACCCAGGGCCAGACAGCCTGTATCCCAGATAACAAGGTGTGGAGCTGGATGAACACAGCTGGCCAGGCAGCATCAGAGGAGCAGGAAAATTTTCTGAAGGGTCCAGACCCCAAACGTCAGCTTTCCCGCTCCTCTGATGCTGCCTGGCCTGCTGTGTTCATCCAGTTCCACACTGTGTTATCTCAGACTCCAGCAACGGCAGTTCCTACTATCTCTGAGTCTATATTCCAGAGTTCGTAAAGAAATTGCTAGAAAGACAGTACAGGCACTATTATAATCTTCCAAAATTCCTTATATTTGGGCAGAGTACAGCAGATTAGAAAACAACAAATATAACACTATGTAAAAAAGCCAGAAGACAGAAAAGAAGGAGACTATTAGCCAATTATTCTGGAAGAGTTCAGCAGATCAGAAAATAGCACATATCACACTGTTATTCAAAAAAGCCAGGAGATAGAAAGAAAGAAACTATTAGCCATTTAGCCCAACATCTGCAACAGGGAGGTTGCTGGAATCCACTATTAAAAAGATTATAGCAAGACAGAGTCAACATGATTTTGTGAAAAGGAAACAGTGCTTAACCAATTTGTTAGAATTTTTTGAGGAAGCAATATGCAAGTTAAATAAAGGGGAACCAGTGGTGAATGGTGAACTTGGATTTCCAAAGGGCATCAGTTTATATCAGGAGAATAAGGAATCAGCCAATTGAAACAAGAGATTCTAAGGAAATTCACAGGATGGATGCTGAGAGAATGTTTCCCCTTATGATAGAGGCTAGGACTAAGGGACTCTATTTAAGATTTGGAGATCTCCATTTTAAGACAGAGAAATCGGATTATTTTTCTCCCATTAGTATATTCAAGTCTTTTCCTCAGGAAGGGGTGGCCTCGTCACTGAAATCATTCAAGGCCGAGTGAAACAGACTTTTGATAGGCAAGGAAGTCAACGGTTATGAAAGTGGGTTGAGGCTAAAACTGGATAAGCCATGTTCTTATGAAATGACGGAACAGATTCGAAATGCTGAATGGTCTAGTCCTGCATCCAGGACCTATGTTCCATCAAATACTTTAATCTAAACCTTTAACCTATTACAAAATCTGTAAACTTGTAAAGTAAGGACTCAATTCCACTTGGGCCGCACTGAGATTCACTATTATTTGGTTGAGTATAATATGACTTTCGCCTTTATTTCAAATATTAACCACGAAGCTAATGCATTTAGAGTAGCTTTCACTTTTATTTAATCTAATTTACTGCCCAATTTTCTATGCCTGGGATGTGAATGTCACTGGCAAGCCTGGATACTGACCAGGTCTTGCTGCAAGTAGGAAAGGACTACTTCAATATCTAAAGAGAGTGGTAAATGGTCCGAATGCAGAAAATTGTACTTCACTTTGCCTAAATCACTAATTATCCTGAGAAACACATGCAGCAATCTCCTGGGGCTGACACGAAATGGCCTCCAAAAATCATAATCATCTTTCTTTGTGCTAGGTACAACTCCAACCAGTGGAATGTTTTTCCCTTCACTGCTCTCTAGGGCTACTTTATGCAATTACAATCAATCACAATAAAGATGCCTAGCAAAAATAAAATAAACAATTTAAAATATCAATAATAAAATTTATTTTCTAAAATCATTTATTATTCTATAAATGTTAATAAAGCAGTACAAGTCACAGGCCTTGCACATTTCCTCCTCTCTTATACTGAAAATATTGAATATTATTGGAGTGTAGCCATGTCTAGTCCTTCAATCAAGAGGTCATTTGCATGGGTAAGTCTAGGTATTTACTATTGTCAGGCTACTTGAACAAATAAAGCTATTTGTAACAGGCAACTGCTTGCTTATTCAAAACTCCCAAATGTAAATGTTTAATAATCACAAATTATCACGAATGATAATGTCCATATTATCAGAAAATACACCTTATGAAAGGAAAATTCTCCACTTATTTTCAGTCTCCAATAAAGAGCACATAACCAAAACACTTCAATTTATCATCTTATCCAATACTAATCCTCAATGATTAGTTGTGTATTCCTCCCAAATGTGCTGTTACATTTCAAATGTTCTCCACCCATGTAATGGTGGGTTTCTAATAGATGCTTTAAAAACTTTACATGTGGCAAATTAATAAAGCCCAAAATTTGTCAGAGACACCAGTAATATCACATTTAAAATCACCAAAATCTTTCATATTTGACATGTTATTTCCTTGGGAAAATTTATAGTTTGATTCCAATTACAAGGAGAATTCAAATTATAAGATAACTATGGACCACTACTGTTCAATTAGTTTGGAGGCAAAATACAAAGTCTTCAGTTTTAGAGGTGCTGATTTCCACTAACTCTGGAAAGTATGTCCCACTACTCATTTTGGAATTAACAAGTAAAGACTGCTATCAAAATTTATTGATGGTTGAAAGTTGATTATAATATACACTTGGTAATTTCAAACAGAAAAAAATTCATAAGATGCTAACAGCATTAACTACTGTTACAAATAAATTCTGGCAGAAGTGAGAATATTATAGAAGGGTTGTATCATGTGTCATGAAATGAGTACTGCTACAAAATCTTAACAACAAATAGATTTTGAATCAGAATTTTCCCTTTGGAGACATCTTTGTGGCAAAAAAAAAGTTATGAAAAGATTTCTAATCTAAAAAGGTAAAGGACAACAAATGTTAATGTCGCATTATGTAGCGCCAAAAGAATAGATAGATTCATATTCACCAGGATTTTACAACAAGATTTTTAAAATTTTAGAATTTTAAACATCTTAACAGACTACTCAATATATTTTAATATTTTGTCAGACTTGGTCTGAATGTGTGTTTAAATAGCAGCTTGTATATTACTGCACTAAGTTGAATTTCAGGTATTTGATGTCCATGTATTTTGTTGGTGCTCATGTGGTTAAATCCACGCATAGCTGCATACTAGCATACCTGTAGTTATGAAGTAAAACTGAGTTTAATGCATCTGTCACCAGGCAAAAATTTTAATTGGGCAAAACCAAGATTTGGCTCACATTTCATAGAGGTTTCTCCAATTTAAATTAAAACTGAAAAGTAACTTTGTCCAGGATGTTCATTCTTGAAAGGGAAGGGTTACACAATTGGAACAAGGTTACTTTATAATCGGTTGATTGCCCTTTTATTTTCACCAGATTGGTTATAAAACACATTAAAAGTATAGATTGGTTTTCAAAATAAAAATTATTCTACTGTAATTAGATTACATAATTTATTTGCATTAGCAAGTTATTCTTAGGATAACTCCTCATTATGAAACAGAACAAAAACACAAATACTCGGAGATGTTTATCACTCGATTAAACGTACATAAAGAATCATTTTATGCAGCACATCATATAAGTTTTAAGATAAATATTTCAGATGTCAATAGCTTTCAAGACATTATCTAATTACAGAGAAAATTGCTTAAAACTGACATCTTGGTTCAAACCATAATTTGGGTGTGATTCAATTTCATCCACAACTGTTATATTGATGCTGTAATTGGCCTTAACTTCCCAGGACCCTGATAAGGATAGCAAAAGGCCGCAAGAATTATCACTTGTCTCAGATGCAGAGATACATGCTGAAAGTTTGTTAGTGTACACTGCACAAGGATACAGTCAGTCTGTTTTTTTCTCTCTCGTCACCAGCCCACCCCATTGCAGTTAATTAGCCTGCCAATGCTTACTAGGTAGGCTCCCACAAGAGAAAGAACAGAAGTTATCAGCAGGTTTGAAACAATCAGGAGTCAGTGCCTTTAGGAGAGTAAGAGAGAAAACAGAAAAATGACACCTTTACCTCTCTTCTGCATGAAACTGAAAAGGTCATCCAAAAATTCTTTCCTTCTTGGATCATTGTCTAGCTCATAGAGCTGCAAAAAAAAATACAGTTCTTGAGAATGGCACACAAACAGGTTACCACAAATATGTCATACATGTCCTAGTGGCTTGAGTAAAGATAGTATTGAGTATGCATCTGAATATTTTTAAAAAAAAAAGCACATTCATTGATGTGGCTTGCCAAGAACAAAAAAAGCGCTCATCATCAAGCAACAGAAAGTAACTTGCAAGTACACTGAACAAATAAGGAACACACTTACGATACACCACAGGTAGTGATCTTTAATAGCAATTATATTCCCTTGCTCTGTACAGTAAACAAGAAACATAAAAGTAATAAGTCAGGGCCTGTTCTGCCATTGTGCTTTGCACTGGTACTAATTCAACGACAATTATCTGAACTAATTCATATTTCTTTGCCCTTTTCTTAAATTGTATAATCTACTTTTTTAAAATAGAATCAGATAAGTCGCTGAAATTTGTGACAGCACCTTCATCCATCACCACAGGATGAAGCATCAACCGTGGTTGCTGGAGGTCAATCATCTCCAGCCCAGGGCATCATCGCAAGAGTTCCTCAGGATAGTATCCTGTGCCCAGGTGTTTTCATACGTATAATGAATGACTACCCTCCAATCATTAAAAGTCAGAAGTGGGGATCGTCACTAATAATTGCACAATGTTTAGCATCATTTGTGATTCCTCAAATACTGAGGCAGTCCCTGTCTAATGGGCCAACATCAAGACTTGAGTTGATAAACAGAAAATAACATTCATACTACTTAAGTGCCCGGCAATGACCATCTCCAGCAAGACAGCAATTCTACTATCACGTCTTCACGTTCAATGGCATTATCAACATCTTGGGGCTACTAGAAAAATAACTGGACAAGTCACATAAATATTGTTGTTACCAAGGCCAGAGATAGAGCACGCACGTGCACAACAGATAGAGCAACATCAGTGAGACAGACAGACAGACATCCCTCAAAAAAAAATCAATGTTAAAACATTAACACACCTCCTAAAATTAATGTAAAAACACACAGTGAGCAATAGAAACATAATGCAGGGGATATACACAACACTGATATACTTTATTTACAGCATAAATACTCAGACATCACAGTAACTTGTGGTTTTTGAGGTATATAATTTTTCCCAGTTTAGCAAGAGCACTGGTTGATAAGGTGCCAGTTAAAACAAAGTTTGCTGGAAAAATACAGTAGCTTTAGCAGAACAAAGTTAAACCACAAGGCAATCCAATTACTGTCTATGATTTAAACCCTTGATTCTGGACCTCCAACTTCACAAAGACAGACAGACAGACAGACAGACAGACAGACACCGTTAAGAGATAAATCAAAAGGAATAAAGAATACATGAGATGTAACTGGCTAGTTCACTTCAGCAAACTCCATGATCTGTAACATCACAGGCACATGGGATTGTATCTTGCTTGGCTCATGAAGACACCAATGCGTGCAGGTAGCTTCCAGTAGGCTTCGAGGATTATTCATTTAATTCTTATAACTGAGATTTTATTCTCTGAATTTTCAATAATTTCATAATGGTAGGACAACACAGGGAGAAATCAAATCTTCAGGCACAATCTTTCTAACTTAAACAAGAGTTCAAAAACCAGCTCAACCTTTGATTTCTCCTTATTCAATTGGTTCTCTCCACACCACCCCCCATCCCCCCACACCCCGCCTTACAGTCATAAAACAGAAGTTATAATGGGGAACAAAAGTTTAATTAAATACACATTTTGGTTCTGTCTTCACAAAGGAGGACACAAGTAACGGCCCAAGAATGTTGGGGATCACAGGATTTAATAAGAGGGAGGAACTGAAGGATATCAGTAAGAAAATGGCATTGGGGAAAATGATGGAATTAAAGGCTGATAAATCCCCAGGGCCTGATAATCTACTTCCTCAAGCTGTCAAGGAAGAAGCCCTTCAAAGAGTGGATTGGTGCTCATTTTTCAATATTTTACAAACTGTCAAACAGTTCCTATGGATTGGAAACAATGTAACCCCTCTATTCATAAAAGAAGGTTGAGAAAAAGCAGGAAATTATAGACTGGTTAGCCTGACATTGGTTGTTGGGAAAGAGTCCATTACAAAGATTTAATAGCAGAGCTCTTGGAAGACACAGTGACAGGATCAGATAGAGTCAGCATGGATTTACGAAAGGGAATTCATACTTCATCAACCTTCTGGAATATTGAGAGAATATAACCATTATATAATAACTAGAATATGACGACGTGGTTTACGCAGACTTTCAAAAGGCTTTTGATAAGGTTCCACATAAGAGATTAGTATGTAAAATAAAAGCACATGGAATTGGGATTAGTGTGCTGGGATGGAAAGGTCAGCAGACAGAAAACAAACAGTACGAATAAACAGGTCTTTTTCTGAGTGGCAGCCAACGAGTAATGGGGTACTGGCAGGGACCAGTGCTTAGATCCCAGCTATTCACGACATATTAATGAACTGGAATAAAACAAAACTACCTCCAAGTTTGCAGACGACACAAAGCTAGATGAGACAGTGAACTGTGAGGTGAATGCAAAGATGTTTCAGTGTGACTTAGACAAGTTGAGGTGGACAAATGGCATTTGACACAATTCTGAAGGACCTTGTTCAGACCAGAATACAGTGTGTAGTTTTGGTCTCAGGAGCAAAAATAGAAGTTGCTGGAAAAGCTCAGGAGGTCTGGCAGCATCTGTAAGAAAAAAATCAGAGTTAACGTTTCGGGTCCGAAGACCCTTCCTCAGAACTTGTAGTTCTTTCTGTAGTTTTGGTCTATGTATCTAAGGATGGATGTTCTGGCTTTCGAGAAAGTGCAACAAAAGTTTACCAGACCAGTTCCGTTTTGAGGACTGGATGGATTCTGACTGTATTCATTGGAGTTTACAAAAATGATGGAGTCTCTCATGGAAACCTATAAAATTCTAACAGGACTAGACAGAGTAAATTCAGGAAAAAATGTTCCCAAAATAGCAATAGCAAATATATGTGAATGACAATCCCCGGGAAAGGACCAGTGGTCTAGGAAGAGCAGATATCAGAAGGAACCAAACAGCAACTTGCACATGTACCATTAGGAGACCTGGACAATTTAAAGACTATGTATTCAATACATGAAGAGACTCACTATTTTGTTAATGAATAAAAATTTTCTTTATGACTGTATATTGGGTAACTTGCAAACAGAAATGATAGTGCATGCACTTTTTTTTATTTTCTTATGAGAAGGGGAACGCTTGAAGAAGTGCAATTGGCTGCATCTGGCTAACTTGCCATTATTACATGATCTCTACCTTCCCTATAAATGCCTTTGTCAGCAATCTGCTGCAGCCATTAAACCTACATGACTTTGAATAGTTTGTGTGGTGCGGTCTTCAATAAGAAGAAACCGAAAAAAAAAGTAGCAATTCGGTTTCTCTTTTCTCTTTCCATGTTTTCAATGGTTGATAACCCGTGTATAACTGATGATTTTGTGAAGAGTTTGAAGAAAAAGCACTACAGTATAGCAGGACAGCAAATTAAATTTCTCATCAGCAGTAATGGAATCAAAACCATCAAACAGAAGCAATACTTTCATTACCATGTAATTGTTGAAATTTAGATTCTTTTAAAAGGCTAAGGGTGTAGTTAGTAAGATTTTCTGTCTTTATAAATTAGTTTTTCACATCTCTGGCCCAATTTTAAGTTTACAACGTTTGCGATCCCTCCATCTCTGTCCATTCCCCATTCAAAGTGAAGTATTGATAATCAATTCTTTTGTCAGTTTTACTTTGAATCTTAACAATAGAAAAAAACTGAACTTCCGCAGTACATTTGTCATATCATCCCAAAGCAGTTCACAACCATTGTTTTTCTTTTGGAAACATTTCATGATGCACATTTTAGTAGGTATGGCAGCATGTGGAGAGAAAGAAAGAATTAATGTTCAGTACAGTGTCCTTTCATTGGAATTCATCAAAACTGCTTTGGAAACTGCAGGTAATATTTGCAAATACAGCAACCAAAGTGCAGAGAGAGAAGTCCCACCAATAATAAATAAAAATAATAACCAGTTATTTGTGGTTGAGAGATTCTGGGAGTAATTGCTTGCCTTTGATGTAAGTAAGCAGAGAGTGGTCACCTAAGATCTCAGCAGAAAGACAACCGCTGGATGTTGCAGTAACAATAACGGCAAGGATATCAACACTCACTGTTATTTGAGTGTAAACTGAACAACCACCTTGGGTGATTACATGCACATTTCAAAGGCAAAACCAAGATGCTGCTGTCAGAGATAGGAAGAACTGCCGATGCTGCAGTCAGAGATAACACAGCGTGGAGCTGGAGGAACACAGCAGGCCAGGCAGCATCAGAGGAGCAGGAAAGTTGATGCTTCAGGTCCGAACCCCGAACAGCACTGACCCAAAATGTCAACTTTCCTGCTCCTCTGATGCTGCCTGGTCTGCTGTGCTCCTCCAGCTCCACACTATGCTGCTGTCAGAACTAGACTGCCAAATTTAAATCAGGCAAGAGATCAGAGTGAAGGTGTAAAGATTGAGTTGAAGGCATGAAGAAAGCGAATAGTTTCAAGTATCTTGGTTCAGTACTGGTAGAAGTATGGAGCTGAAAATTAAGTAATAGATTCACTTTATTTGGAGTGGAACTTTGTGATAAAAAAAATTATCGTTGTTGAAAAATAAAGGTAGAATCTATATGGTTGCTATGAAATGGTCTTATATAGTGTAGAAACTTGGGCAGTGGGGAGGCATGGTAGTATTATCACTGGACTGTTAATCCAGAGACCCAGGTAGTGTTCTGGGGACCCGGGTTTGAATCCTGCCGTGTGGAATCTGAATTGAATTAAAAAAAAAAGTCTGGCAGTCAAATGAGGACCATGAATCCATTGCTAATTGTCAGAAAAACTCATTTGGTTCACTAGTGTCATTTAGGGAAGGAAACTGCCATCCTTACCTGGTCTGGCCTACATGGGACTCCAGACCCACAGCGATATTGTT